TCCGGGAGTCGCCCCCTCACCTAGTACCTCTCCAATAGAACAGCTGCAGCTTCCATTTGGGAGAGCGAGGGGCACACTGGAAACTCCTCCCTCCACCTTTTTTGGGTGCCCTACAGGGGAGTCTCATCGTTAGGAAGGGGAGGCAAAGAGAAGAACCACTCAGCACTATAGTCCTGAGAAGCACCCCTCCTCCGAGCTGTACCTGGTGGGTGGACAGAATATCTCCCAATCCGAGGAGGCCGGGAGAGGTCACAGAGTCACCTCAAGGTTTGGACAGAAGAGAAAACAGAGCGCATCATAGTGCTTTCCGCAGCAGGATTGTTAGGATTCCAGAACCCTTCAGCCTGTAAAGGAAAATCTCTCCCCGCCCCCCTATTTCCTGAAGAGTTGGTACTGCTTTCCATCTTACTCCACACCTGGAGCTGGTTGCCAGCCAGAAATTCAGGGCCCTTTCCTGTACGTGGAACAGGCAGATTCCAGTTACTGCCAGAGAATGAATTTCTTAAGCAGGTAGGAGGCAGCTGATCGATGATCCTGCTCCCCGAACACTCTCACAACCCTCTTTCCCCACCAAAACCCCTTTAAACCCAAGGGGCTAGCTAGGGACATCCCTTCATTCTTCCACACCCAACTCTCCAAAAATTTTTTTAAAGTTACACTGATTCTTTTAAGTTTTGTTATATGAAAGCCGTCCACAATTAATGTAGCAAATTTGGAAGTTACAGAAAAAAAAAAAAACTGCAGAGGAAAATTACAATTACTTTATTCCACCATCCAAAGATAACCATTATAACATTTTGGAGTATAGCCTCAGTCTTTCATGTATTGTATGCAAGTATATACTTATATTTTAAAAAACAAAGTTGAGATCACATGATATACTGGTACACCATTTTTATAATCTTTTAATGTTTTTGTTAATCCTCACTGAGTCTTTTCTCCATTGCTTTTTAGAGTGGAAGAGAGGAAGGGAGGGGGAGAGGGGAGAGAGATATGGATTGGTTGCCTCTTGCAACCCAGGTACGTGCGCCCTTCACCAGGAATTGAAGCCAAGACCCATTGGTGCATTGGCTAATGCTCTAACTACTGAGCCACTGACCGGGGCTATAACCTTTTTTTAATATTTAAAGAACATTTTTCTTTTCAAATATTTTTCATGACTTTTAAAAAATACATTTTTATTGATTGCAGAGAGGAAGGGGAGGGAGATAGAAACATCAATGATGAAAATTATCAATCAGCTGCGTTCTACACGCCCCTTACTGGGGTTCGAGCCCGCAACCCTGGCATGTGCCTTTGACGGGAATCCAACCTGGGACAGGCTGACACTCTATCCAATGAGCCGGCTAGGGCTCTTTTATGTGACTTTTAATGGCTGTGTAGTACTCAGGATAGATACACAATAACTTATTTAAGCAATCCCCTATTGCAAATTTTCTTTACAGCAGAAATGAATTCCCAGACAATTGCTTCTCTATTGCAATGCTGGAATGAACATCCTATAACTAAATATTTATTTTCTTAGGCTAAATTCCCAAACGTAGGATTACTAGGTCAAAGGCCATGGTAATATGTTTGATACATAATACCAAACTTACATCCAGGAAGGCTGTACCAATTTGTACCCTATATGCAATGTATGTGAGTGTTATTTTAGTACTCCTTTGCTGACAACTGGGTCTTATTTTTTCTGTTATAGCTTGCTATGAGAAAAATGCTTTGCGCGGTGCGGGGGGGGCGGGGGTAAAGGAGGTCAATGGGGGGAAAAAGGACATCTGTAACACTTTCCACAATAAAGATAAATAAGAAAAAGAAAAATGATTACAGCTGTATTTGCCTCTCTTTAATTACTAATGAAGTACACATTTGTTGTCATGGTTTTATCCATTTGCATTTCTTCTATGAATTTCCTGTGTATGTCCTTTCACAGCTGGCTCTTGTTCCTTGAAGCTGCTTATACGTAAATTACAAGGTGGGAGAGAGGTGGAAGGAGGAGGACAAAGCCACAGGACACTGTAATATGGTCCCACATCTCTGAAGGAGGTGGAGATTGAAGATGCCTGGAAGCTTGTCCTTGCTGGAGGCTGGCTGTCCTCCCTCTTCCTGGGGTGCTCCTGGCCTTTAGGCCCCCCTCTGCAAGGTGCCCAGACAGATCCTGTGCTCCCCAGGCTTTGTCCTTCACTGGTCTTCCGCCTGCCTCTGTGTTCCCAGGATGCTCCTCCTCATCTCTGCTCCATGATAGGTGAGGATGGCAGAGCCACACACCCAGGCTGGAAGGAAACACTGTGGCCAGTGAAGCGAGGAGGGGGAGAAAGGATGGAAGCAATGTCCAGGGACAGAGTGATCTTTGTTGAGTGGACTCAGTCTACCCACCCCCTTCTACCACAGTCCCACACACATTCGGCTTAAGCTGTGGAAGAGCTGGGTTCAATGGTCTACTCTCCCCAAATCTTTGAGTTTCTCATAAATGGGTAATAGGACCCGGCTCCTCTTCCCCCCAAATAGAACAAACAGCTTCCTGCAGCCCCTGAAGGCAGCCACCTTCAGGCAGGGATTCTAGGCCAAGGCTGAACCACACCAGAGCCTAAGCCAAAGAGTGAGATTGGATCAGGAGCTGGGGGTGGCAGGTTTACACTGCCTGTTGCCCCAAAGGGGGGTTGAGTCCCAGAACTCAGTTCTGCTGGTTGCTGGAGGGGAGAATTTTTCTGCCTGCACAGGCCTGAGTTGAGTTTCACACACCATCCTGGAAAGCAAAGTGAGGAAGAAGAGCAGTGGTAGCCATCAGGGGCCGCCGTCTTATTATGGGTGGCAGAGGATGCCTGGGGCCACCCTAGCATGATGAGAAGTCAATGTAGAGACTGAGCCCCTTTAACCCTCCAACCCCCAATCCCTGGGGTTATTGTCAGGGAGGGGGAGGGGCAATAGCTTAAGTGAAAAGCTGTTCTGTTCCCACCCCAAGCTGAGTCTGCACAAATGGGCTTCCGATTCCCTCAGGCACACTCAACTGGGTGATTTCTCCATACCACAAGTAGGAGGAGAAGCTGAGACCAGATGTCTAAGGGTGCCACATATAGGTAAGTAACCCCGAATCTAGAGTCTGGGCCAGTCTAAGGATATGCAGGGAAAGGTAAGAGCCGAGGTATGACTACTGAGATGGCAGGAAGAGGCAAGCTTACTTCTGGACCTCACCTGGAAAGGCCAGTGGAAAGAATGAGGGATAAGGAGGAAGGATCAAGAAAGACATCTGGGTAAAGGGATAGACAGGGTTTTCTTTGCTCCACTTCCTCCCACTGTCACACAAAGACGGACTAACTTTGGGCAGCCAGAGCCATCTATCCCCTCATTCAGTCAGGGTCTCTCAAATTGTTCTCTCTGGCTGCGCCAATCAGGGTGAAGGCGCTCTGACTGGACAAGGTTCCCTTTCCTGAAACATACCATCATCACTCCTGCTGTTCAGACCTTCCCAGCCCCAGTTCTGTCACCTTCCAGATGAGCGGGAAAGCAGCTCCTTCTCCTCCTTGAAGCCAGCGGCAGAGGGCAACAGTTCTTCAACTGGCAGCTTTAGCTGGGTCAGGACATAAAGCTTGCCACTGAAGAACTACTGCGGCTCAGCCAGGTGAGGGTGTGGGAGGTACAGGCTCCTAAAGGCAAAGGGAAGGAAAACAGGAGAGACCTGAGCAGGGCCATGGCACAGGGACACTGTGCATCCGAGTCCAGTCCCAGCAGACACTCAACCTTCTCGGGAAGGGGTCTTAGCCTGGGCCTGCGGGAGCTCAGTGAGAAGCAAGAGGCAGCTTTAAACATATTTCCCTTGCTCCTCTTTCCAGAACTGCAGGAACCCAGGCTCTCATCCGCTTTACACCAGCCACACATGGGGTGGAGGTGGGGGGGGCAGCCTACTCAGGACTGGGAAAAGGCAGGACCTGGGACCCTGGCTGGACACACTCTACCCTTTTCCAAGGTACTAGGTGAGAAGTTGTATCTCAGGTCCAGAAATGAGTTCAGTGATCAGCCCAACTGACTTCTTGCCAGAGAGTTCAGCTGGAAAAAGTTCTGGGGGGCCTGGATCTGGGGAAGAGTGAGGAAGGGAGGAGGTCTAGAGTTTGGAAGGTCAGCAGAGGCTCCTGGGACTGTGAGGAGAGGACAAGGGACCAAAGGCTGGAGGGGAGGGAGATTAGGCAGGGAGGTTGGGCAGCCTCCCCTGGACTCTCAAATGCCAAGCATTCCGCTTGCGCATTCCGGGTACATCTGGTATGAATTCCAGGCTGTCTGCCGGCCCCTCCAAGTCTGAACTTTGTTCCAAGTTCCAAGCCCCGCCCCCAAGGAGAGGGCGGGTCTGTGCTGACACTCAGCCCAAGGGCATGCCCATGCCAATGGGAGTGGCCAAGGTGGTCTTGCCACGAGATTTCTACACTTAGAGGGTAGAAAAGATTAGGGTAAGGTTGGGAGGTTTTCAAATGACAAAACCCTCTTGGAAAGCATGAATTTTGAGGTATCTGCCTTCTCCCAAGTGACCAGTCCCAGCTCCTTCCCTCTCCCCTCCGTCTGAGCCAGCTCTGGTCAGCCCAAAGGACTTAGCGGCTACTGAGAGTTTGTGCCAAGCAGGTGCCCTTGGCTGCAGAGCGGGTTGGGTCCAGGGCACTGACCCTCTGACCAGCTGCTCCATCAACCTTCTGGCACCCTGACAGCTTCCAGCCCAGTCTGACAGCCAGGATGACAGGCCAGAAGAGTTGGAGGCTGGAACTAGGGCCAAGGGAGGTGGGGGCGATAGCCTAGCCCGAGGCCACGGGGAGGGGCCAAGAGTTGGCCGAGAGGTGGGGAGAGAGGGAGCCCAGTGATGACTAACCCAGGCGCCCCACCCAGCCAGCCGGTTTCCCAGGCGGTCGGGGCCAGGCCTGGGCTAGGGCCCCCACGACCGGACGGGCTTGGGGGAGGTGCAGAGGTGACCTTCTCTCGGCCCAA